CAGTCCCCATTTCTCGCAGTTTTTTTTTACAGTGAAAGATGATGCGGGGAGCAACAAGTTGTTGTTATCCGTAGGACATACCCTAGGCTTGAAAAGTTCCCTTCGCGGATCCGAAGCGAAGAGGACTGAATAGACACCAAATAGTTTCACGTTTGTCAGGGACACATGTGGCCAAACAGCCGACGAAGTAGTGACGATCACACGGCACACGGAAAACTCGAGTTGCTCATCACCCTCATCACAGGAAGAGGCAGCCATCAAAATTATCCTCGACACAAGACGGAGAGAGAGAGCACAAGAAAACACACACAAAGAGCCAGAATCTGGACGCTACACCACCCGACAACCCCAGCGAATGCCGTGCAGACACGGACTTGATCCTCTTATGCCACCTCTGGCCAACAATGATCGACAAGACGGAAATACATAACCCAAACAAGACCGGGGTCGTTTGGGCCAAGTGGTTCGCGTGTTCGATACAAACGAACAAACACGCACATATATATTTTCCCCGCTTATACGGACTTGCCTCTTGCTGCGATTCGTTTTCAGGCGCTCCGCGCGGTATATGGCAATCAAACAAATACAAATAAAACACAGCACCCCGCGCGATCTTTGTTCCCGCATGTTCCACGCATTTACCACCTGACGTCCAGTGACTAGATAGCCCATCGATTGGGCTAGCGCGGCTATTAAATCAAAAGTTCAACATCACACACACTTTCGTACGACATGCATCTCCGAAACACATTAATCCACCTACATCCATCTACATCTACACAGGCGCCCGCAACATCATACCAACAACCCTTCACGACTACTGTAGTCGCCTCCTCCCACCGATTCAATCAACACTCGGGTTACTCCTGATCGCTCTCGATGTACTCGTACGAGTTGCAAGAATCAAGCACGGAGCCCCCCGACTCCAACCCCCCCGACGATATCGGAGACGGTCTCCCCGACGCCCCCGACTCTGGCACCGAGCCAGAGCCGGACCCGTGCGTCAGCCTCAACATCGGAGAGGCGGCAGAAGCCCGGGGAGGGTGCCCGCCCTTCCCCGCGGAGACGCTGGCGCCCGATCCCCTTCGCATGCTGCTGCCGAGCCGTTTGTGGGGCTCGAGTTCCGCTTCTGCGGCTTCTAAGAAGGCGGCGGCTTGGGGGTGGTTGTGCAGAAGCGCCGTTGCGTGGGCTGTCCGACCGTAGAGGTCGAGGTTGCGCAGTCTGGATTTAATTCATCGGTGGGCGTCGGGAGAAAGGGAGAGAGAACAGGACAGGACAAAACGTTGGGGTTCGTTTGGCACATCTTGGGGGGCCATGAGTGGCACGAGGGGGGGGAGGGGTTGAAGGATACACTACTGGATGCCACGCAGATTATAGTGAAAGGTAAAGGCATCTGGTGCAACAGAGGCGACGGCAGAGTCGCGCAAAAGGGGCGACACATTAGACTCGTCACCAGCAGGAAGTCCTCAGTCGAAGCCACAGTGGAAGCCACACGGAGGACATATCAAGAGCTCATTTCCCGTACTGACACAACCTCGTGAGAACTCTTACCCTTTCACTCTTCAGAATGACCCCCTATCGAAGCTGCGACCAATCATTCGTGAACGGGATATTCAAAAAACGAAAATGACAGACTGTAAAAGACTACAAGACTACATCGCCGTGGACCAGGGTGTCTCCGATTCCCCTCCAAATAAAACGACGCCGTGTCTCCTCACTTGAATGGCCCCCCGTCCATCATGAGGGTGTTGTCCCCCGGTGGCAGCACGTCCTTGCCACCACCGCCCCTCCCGCCGCCTCCTCCGGCGGCCCCACCCTTGCCGTTATCCTTGCGCATCTCCTCCACCAGAACGCGCAGCACCGGGACGTGCCCGGACATCGCGGCGAGGTGCAACGGCGTCCTTCCATCCCGGTCCCTGGTGCGGTACGGGATGTCCGCCCGCAGGAGTTCCGAGACGACCTGGGCCGACCCGCTAGCCGCCGCTAGAGCGATTGGCCCCTGCCGAAGCAAACACACGTTGTCGAAGACCAACGAAAAAACGAAAGGAAATAGTATAGGTGAGAGGCGATACTGTACCAGTGGCGGTTGCTGTTTCATAGGCGGCGGAGGTGTTGTCCAGGTCATTGCAACTGTGGCTGTCGGTGCGCCGTCAGCGGTCCCGTGGTTGTCGACATTTCTTCCATCGAGAGAACCATATGATCTATCTATCTACTCCACACTGTTGGAAGATTCGTGTTGGTAGGTTCAGGCATGGTCAGGCCTTCAAGTGAGCAGCATGACCTGAGCCACATTACGACCGTTCTACATGGTATTACACAAGATGTACGCTCCAGGCACGGTCTCGTTGATCGACCACCCAAAGCAAGGGTTACTCGCAACCGGCTACGTTATGTTGACCAGCAGTTATTTGTTTCCATATCAAGCAATAAAGGGTGGTTGTATGTAGTTCATATCGACTGTGCTGCTGTAGTCTATGGTGTGCTTTCTCTCTCACCATGCCGTCTTCGTTAGTCTTGCAGGGAGCGCACGCCATCCGGGCCAGGCGGCTCCGATTCAAGCCCGCCACACCACTAACAAGCACAGCGACAAAGGCAAAAACAGCAACAGACGCAGCAGACACAAGGCCAGCGGACAGCAGTCACTAGTACGGAGGGAGACCAGAGGGTACACACACTTGTAGCGAGAGGAAGGTGTCTGTACCCACGTGCGTGGTTGGCAGTCAGAACTTCGGCACACTGCAGCTCATGGTGGCATGCGTACCGGAGGCAAGCCTCAAGAAGGTGACACAGAACCGGTACGATACACTCCACCGTCCCCCCCGGTGCACGCTTAAAACCAATACGAGTACAATCGTAGAACATCCATGACACTGGCAGCATGAGGTACGTGCACGCCTCAAGATGTTTTCCGTCTCGCTTCTTCTCTTCTTCTCACGTTCCTGTGCCGCCGGTGGATTTGGCCTTGAGCAGAGCCCTGACGGCCAGGAGGTGTCCCCCCCTAGAGGCGTGAGCGATAGGGGTCATGCCCCTTGCATCAACCGAAGCAGCATTGGCCCCCCCTTCCAGCAGGCATCTCACCATCGACTCGTTCCCTGAAACAGAATCAGCAGCCGCCCCAATACCACAGGCAAAAATAAAAGGACACGTTTTGGCGCTGGTGGTAGACAGCCGTCAGACCTCACCTCGGATCACATGTACAAAAGTATACCGACGGTGGGGCGCGTGGTGTAGAGTTGGGAGCGCGCACAACTCTGAGCGATCGGGTAAAAAAAGTTGTCCAACTCACCGTATATAGCCGCCAGCGCCAGCGGGGTAACGCCGTCACTTCCAAGCGAGTCCACCATAGTATTCGGCGGGGTAGGCAGGCCAAACCTCAGAGCGTTCAACACCCTCGAGGGTATCTCGTTCCTGAGGTCGTCGTTCGAAGGCATCACGGGGGGTCGGGGGGGGGGGGGAGAACGTCCATGAGGCTACACGCTTTCCTCGTCTAGGACTCCGACCGGATGACATTCATTTTTTTCATTTTTTTCATTTTTCAAGACTGAACAATGTCATGATTCGCTATTCGCCGGAAAAAAAAAAATCGGTCGTAAATTAACAAGGAAACTCAACACGATATTCTTGCTCCTAGAGAAACGTTCAATAACGTTGTTACGTTTGGGTGACTTCTAGGTTTCCGCAGGGAACGAACGGCCTGAGCCCTGAACCCGGGCTTGCACAGCACAGCACAGCACAGCACGGTTTGTGACCGCTCTAACCTCGAATGCGCAAGCAGCATCTTCAACATTCCCTCCTCGCCAGCCTTGACGGCGGTGTGAAGCGGACTGTCCTTCCCCTGCGACACACGACCGCAGGAGTCACAGACACAAAACCACGAGGTCGGCGACAAGGGACAGACTCGAAGCAATCACATACACATACGAATACACAAGGGGTTGATTTTGCAGCATCGAAGACGACAGCATGGATATTGCAGCCTGGGGCAACACACAGCCGGCCATACGTGTACCGTTTTATATCATATTTCCACCGTCTGGGGTAGTCATGACTTAGAAGAAAGCAAGATCCGAAACAAGAAAGATCAGCAGTCCTCCGCCTCAACACTCGCTTCCTGGGACACACTGCCTCCTTGACCACTACAGCACATGCATGCAAGCCATCCACAACCACGCACGCAGGTCCCGCTCCAAACAAGCGGTGCACTGGCCTAAAACACCGAGCCACCGCCATCATCACTACGCCCTGATCCCCTGTGGCGGCCTACCCACCTCCGGCCCTCCGCCCCGAACGGAATCCCTCGCTATCCCCCGCAACAGCTCCCTGAGGGCATTCTCCTTTCCGGCCTCGATGCAGTGCTGGATTGGAGTCAGCCCCCGTCGGCAGGGCAGGGACAACACTTGCGACCCGGGGCTCAGCCTCTGCCACAGGTGAGCCAGGGAAGTCACCTGCGTGCACGTGGTGAGAGGGTTAGGGTTCGCCGAGAGTTGGGGGGGGGCGATGAATTGGCATATTTTGAAGGGGGGGTGACGCGGCTCGGAGCACACCATATTTTAAAGGGGGGGGGGTGCCGTGATTTCGTATGGCGCAGTCGAGGTGGACGGCAGCTACTCAACGGTGCGGCCGACAACATGTACTTGAAGCTTGTCCTCTTCGCATGCCGTACCAATAAAGGGACGGACGGTGCGACCACAAGAGCAGTCTTTCGACGTCTTGACTGACCACAACACTATCACGATCCGAACACACTTGGCAAGGAAAGGCAAGGGCGACTGCGAAACTCTCCTCTCTATCTCGACGATGCCAACAACACGACGACAATACAGCAACCCCATCCGACATGCGCCCAAGCACCAAATCGGGGTCCTGTCCTGTCCTGTCGGATACTGCAATAATAGTGCGGGTGGAGTTACTCCACACGCGCCTGCTCCCCGTTCTGCTTCATAAAATGTCTTGTTGGACACAGGTAAGCAGCAAATCTCCCGTCTATGCTTGTGCCTAGATTAGCTCACCAGCCTGGCGTCTCCGTCTCTAGCGGCCGCGTGGAGAGCCCCCAGACCATTCACGCCTCCCCCATCCTGAATCCCAGCGTGGGGTTGATCACAAAGTGAAGAAGCGCGCACCAAACAGCCATCAGGTATCGCGAGGAGCAACAACCGGCGGGCCAATCGAGGAGCAAGGGAAACAAGAAGAGGCGTTTACATGTTCAGATCGCATGCATCATATGACGACGGACACAATACCTTGACTACGACAACAACGAGGACAAGCCTGGATTTGCGCGATGACGTTATACCCCCGCACACGAGGCACCGGGAATTCCGCCTATGCTCTCACGCACCGACGCAAACGTGCTGATCATGGACGGATGACGTTCCTTCCACCTTGAACCACACGCGCAAGGACACCAACGCCATCTGGCAACAACAAACAGCAGCCAAAGCATGTTTGGCAAACATAAAGTAACTCGTTTCCCGCTTACCGCCAGGCAGTCCCAGAGCGGGATAAACCGCAGGCGTAGGCGCACCGCCGGCCCCAGCCTGCTCCCGCCGGCGCCAGTGCTCTTGCTCTTCCCCCCATTACCGCCGCCGCCGCCACCCCCCCCGACATGGGTTAACTCTTTCCAGATATCTCTCGCCGAACCGTTCGCGTACCCCCCACCCCAATCGCTGGTGGCGAGCATCTCGACCTCTTCCAGGGTCAACGCTGTAGCGGCCGGCTTATTCGCCCTCTTTGCCGCCGCCGTTGCCGCCGCCGCCTTCCCGGCCAACGACGAGACCCGGCCGCTCCCCTCCCTCGTGCTCCGGTTCCTTCCGGCCACCCCGGCGCTGCCGCCGCCGCTACGCCCAGACTTGCTTCCGGAGCTGTTGTTGCTCATCTTTTCGGGCCCGCTGCCGCCACCTACCCCACCCCCGCCGGCCCCGGGGCTGCCATCGGTGCTAGCAAGCCCGGCGTTGGAGGAACGCCGCTGCCTGTTGCCTCGGCGGCGTCGCCGCCAGCTCCCAAATACGCCTCCGCCGGGCAAGCACCCGGCGCTTTCCTCGGGGGTACCGGCGGTAGCACTGGCGGTAGAGCTCGGGCCGGGGACCGCGTCGGCGGCATCAGCACCGGTACCCGCGTCGGCGCTAGCTTCTTGCGGTGAGATAATAGCACCTTCACCGCCGGCGGCCGAGTCAGAGGGGGCGAGGTCGAGCCGCGGCCGGCCAGCGGCATTGGCATCGGCATCGCCCTCATCGCGCACGCTGCTGTTGTCCTCATACCTCTCTGGGGGCAGTGTTGGCGATTGGTTCTTCTCCTCTTTCGGAAAAAGGACGGCAGCCGCTTGCGTGGGACGTCCGCCCGCGGCTGCCGTGCCTTGAGGTGGGTTCGTCAATGGTTGTACGTGCAAAGAGAGCGGGAGGGCGGGAGGGCGGGGAGGTTTCAATCACAAGTCCGGATACAAAACAGCAGCAGCTGGGTTTTCAGACGCCGACCGCAATAAATTCGTGCTTTTTGCACCGTCAAACTGCTGCTGTGCGCCGGACTCCGAGCATGTCGAGTTGTTTGGCATCCTCCGCAACACGGGGTTTGAAACAAGGGTATCACCGGGGCAATACTCGATGCATGCCACTCGGTAGTAAGTACAAAGACGAACCGCAACCGACGAGGTACGACACGAAAAACGTGTCACATGCTGCACCTGCCTGTCATCCCTGGATGTTCAGCACGTGTATTCTTGACTTGTTTCTTTTCCGTCTTGTGCATCAAACCAAGACACCAGCTAGTCTTCAAGACTCACTACGTCGCCGCTCAAACTATGTACGTGTACATAGGGACAAAAAACGGGGCTCACCCTTCAACCCAGACGAAGAGGAGGCTCTTTCTTGTCTGCAGGACGCCCCTGACCCTCCGACCCTTCCGACCAAGGCCTCCGCGAGCCTAGCCTCACATACGCCGAGAACGGTACCACTTCCCGCGCCGCCGCCGCCGCCGCCGCCGCTTCCTCCGGACACCAACTCCACGACGATACGAGTCGGGCCGTAAAACTCGCGCACCTCGAACAGCAGCCCGCGGGCAACGCCGCCGCTGCCGCCGCCACTGCTGCTGCTGCTGCTGCTGCTGCTGCCGCTGCTGCTGCTGCCGCCGCCACCATGGCGCGGGTTGCCGGATTCAGACCCCTCTCCGCCATCGCCGCCACCATCGCCTGCACCACCTCTGTAACGATCCCTCGCCAGACCGAGCGGGCCGTTGGCTGCCTCCCTCTCTGGGGGGTGTGCGGTACCATTGCTGAAGGCGCGCCCAAACAAGCGGGCGCTGTGGTTAACGCTACTGCTGCTGCTGCTGCCTCTGCCGCCGCCATTGCGCGCGCCGCTGGTGCCCCCCCTAGCGCGGGAGGTCGACGATGAGGCGTTCATGTCGCCGAGGTTGAGCGGCTGCGCCGGGAACCATACCGGATGATGGCTCCGCTGGGCCGGCTGCCCGGATTTTGTTGTGCCATCCACGGTGACGCGTGCCACGAGTGCGGGTTTTCGACGGGCGCTTAATATTTGTAATCCGTTGTCGGGGGTACCAGAACGAGGGAGGAAGGCAAAGGGGATAGACGGAGATGCAGAAACAGCAGGGGTAAGGAGGATTGACACACGGGTAGTCGCCTGCACGAGTGGGGGATCGATACTGTTCCTTGAAAATTACTGTGCCGGGCACCACAATGGTGCGTTACTTTCGAATTCTACAGACGAGGGTGTGTGACTCCGAATACTACACTACAAGGGCGAAGTAAACGCCGAGTAAACGTGGCCGCCGCACAACACGGGTGGACCCTCGCGGGTTAACCGCGGGGGGAGTGGGGTCCTTCTGATGCCTCGGACACAGCAGCCGTAACTCACGTTCGAGACAGGGTGGACGTTGCCGCAAGAAGGTCGACTCCGGTAGCTTGCACAACCGTTACCTCCAACACGCCGGCCTTGACCACCTCGCTCATCGTCAGCCTCCTGCCCCTCCAGAGTGTGCGTGGGTCACCCGACTGGATGGGAAAAAGCGGCACCCGGTCGATCGCTTCCTGAATAGACGAGGAGGACGATACAGCAGCAGGAGCAGCAGCAGCAGGAGCAGCAGGAGCAGGAGCAGCAGGAGCAACAGCAGTGTTGGTGTGGTGACATCCCGCCAAAACGTTGGGTGGCCAGGGCACGCTTTTCTACGAAGGAGAGACCGCAGTCTGCTCAGTGGTCAGTCGGCTACCGTGGCCCTGCTATGTAGATGCGGGCATAAAAGATGCAATCACACAATTGGGCAGCAGAGATCAGACGTATTCTCGACAGGTTAAACGAGTTCAACTCCACATGACTCCCCCTGGACCGACAAACCGGTCCCCCAAACGCTTGTCCACACGCGACGGAGGAATTCTGCCCATTGCTTCTCGCCCGAAGTAATTCCACCGCTACCGCTGCGTTGCAACGCGCCCACCAAGCCACGCTTCCGTGAAACCTAGCTGCAGGAAGAAACAACGTTGTCTGGCTAGATTGTACCGGCAAATATACCACTGCTGCTGTACAACCCTGGGCACCCACCCAACACACCTATCTGTGGTGGCCTTCATGCGCACTTGAGGTACTGCTGTACCGCTGAGGCACATACCAATCCGTCCAAGACATACTAACTATTGCGGATACAGATGTGTACCATCGCCATGGTCGTCATATTTTCGAGTACGGCGGTACCAGTACATGCGAATTGCGTCAGCTGTGAAGCGGTCAGTCGAGCAAAGAACTGCGGTACAGTTGTAGAATACTATCTTACTACTGTGGTGGGCTGGCTGGCTACCGTGGCGATGATACAGTACCATCTTCATTGTGCCAAGAACACACCCAGTCATGTGCGGTTTCGCTAATAGTACACAGGTGGTGCGAGAGAGAAAGAAATCCCGGTCATGCAATTGCAATCAATCATCCTGCTGTTGTAGAATACCATGGAATACATAGGTCGGTTCAATCATGTGGTGACGATAAGTACAAGTAAGAGGCAGAAATGCGCCGACAACGACGTGATGCAGTGATCCTATCCTCTCTGATTCTATCTATATTCGCACAGCAAACTTCTTTCGTCTAGACGTCCAGCATATACGTCAGGATGGGTAACGGTGATTGTAATGTCTCCAAACCTTCCGTTTCCGCTACCCAGACATCACATCCCGCCTTATGCCGAGGATTGGACGAGTGGACGTCGCACAGCAGTACATGGAGGGATGCACGGCGGAGCTGCAGGGGGGAGTTGTGCGAGCAACCACTATTTTTCGCCATGCAGATTATGCTCATCATTGACTCTAAACCGTCGCTCGTTTGTACCTGCCGTACGTTCTTGTTTTGTTCCTCTTCTACAATCCCGGACCGGACCAGGAACGAACGCCTGTACGCTGTGGTACATACTGCTTTTGTACGGAAATGCCAAAAGGGGCGATGGTTCAACAGGGCACAGACCCTGCGCGCCTTTCCCGAAAAAATGTTGTTGTATTACGTGCCCTTTCCGGTGGCCTAGGCCGATAATGACCTTGCGCGTTTTCGTACGTACGCGGTGATTACGCGCTGTGGATGTGCATCGGTCTGATGAAAACTGGTGTTGGGTTGGACGCTGCTGCTGCCGCCGCTGCCGTGGCGGTGAAAGTCTGTCCGATCGATCTACTGCTTGGTGCAGTGGTACAACACGCTGCTGGTACGGTACTTCGAATGGGACAGAGTGTTGCCAGAGGAAGAGGGTCCGAAAGTGAAGCCCAGCCTTTCACGTAAACTATACCATGTCCAACCCGTGCATTGCTTGTGCCATAACGTAAACATAGAGGCGATATCCTTATGTAGTTTCGTATCACGCACGGGCAGGTGTAACACGTTCGCGACAGAGTTTTCCTCACTTGAATGTCTCGTGTTCCCGGTCTTCCCTCCCAAGGCGCGATGCTCCCGAGACTTCACACCTCTCCCCGCGAGGAGAAAGCCAGTCCGATTTGTTCTCGCCGCTCTGCCCTTCTTGCTCTACCCCTGGTGTGACGATCCACGATGTGCCGCACACCCTCGCGAGCCTGGCACGATGAGGACACCAGGATTTGTAGCAAGGTACAACGGGATAACTAACTCACCAACCGGGAGACACCCCGTTTGCTTGCTCCAGGGGGGGGGGCCACAGATGATATTGATACCCCCTCATAATATACCATGTACTTATAATATCCCCGTTCGCCCCGGTGGTCTAGTGGGTAGCCTCGCAGCCTGCTAAGGGCCAGGTCATGGGTTCGAGTCCCGGCAGAGTGAGTTTTTTTCTCACTATATAAATCCTGGTCTAGGATGGAAGCGACGCGCTGCAAAGCTCGTTGTTAGTAAACCATAGTCGACTTCGTAAGTCGCGAGGGAAGGGATTGCTGTACCCTTCTCGCGATAAAATACCTCAGGCAGGAACCGCAGGAGGGGGTCCAGCCCCCCCCTCCTATGTGACCCCGGTTGGGTCGTCTAGCTAGTAGAAGTGGAGGATAGGGGCCAGAGGGGCAGACGACAGAGTCCAATGATGGGAGAAAAAAAAAATATATATATATAGTCTATATATATATATACCGCCCCTATACAAGAAGCAGTTACACATTTTTTTCAGACGAAAAACAGACAAAAAAACGGACAACCGACATCCGTGCTCTTTGCCGTATGCATACGCACATATCAGAAGATAACACACGCGCTGTCCTGCTGCAAAGAAGGGCTTGGGAGATGAGAGCTACCTCAGATTGTCGAAGGTAAAACCGACAAGAGCCGCAGCACGTCAATCAACACGGTGAAGACAACGGTGTTGAGGTAGAGACTTGACAGTCTGGTGCGGCCAAGGCCACGTGCAACTATCCGGGAGGGGGAATGGGACTCCAGCAAACGTCGGCGGTGAACATACGGGTGAAGCCTCTGCCGGGCCATTTCCGCTCTCTGGTGCCAACACGTCGCGAAAACAAGGCGGACGTACGGGGTACACACGTCGTCGTCTTCGGGCACCGTCATCACACGACGTTGCTCGCCGCTTTCAAGATATTTTTCAGGTCGAAAAGGCAAGGACGACCCTCGTCGATATGCAATCTTGGTAGGCAGAAGAACGGAGGAGAAGGCGGAGGAGGACAGGAGGGGGCGGAGGCGGAGGAGGAGGAGGAGGAGGAGGAGGAGGAGGAGGGCAGAGCGTTGGTGGCTCTGGGTCTGGTGGCGGGGGCCGTCGGCAGGGACAGGTCCAAGATTGGGCCGCGCTCGGTGCAGAGAGCAAGGACTTCCTAGGTATTAATGGGAGCCGGATGGAACCAGTCCTAGTACCCGGTCGCCCCGGTGGTCTAGTGGGTAGCCTCGAAGCCTGCTAAGGGCCAGGTCATGGGTTCGAGTCCCGGCAGAG